AAGTGAGCATTGGATGCTCAAATGATGGTTAATGTGGAGATAAAGTGATGAGAAAAGCTTAATGTGGAGATAATTTGATGGCTTCTATTATTGTTATTGTGGAAATTAAGTAAGCTTTGGATGCTCAAATGAGTTGGTTCATACATCACATAGAAAAGCTTTGGATGCTTAAATGAGTTGGTTCATACATGGATTCATGGATTTTTATGAAATTATGCTATCAACAACAAATTGGAGTTATGATGTTTGCTAAATGAAGAGAGTGTTTGGCTATGTGGTACCAAGTAGCTTTATTTCTATGAGATACGAAGAAAAGTGATGTTGTGGCTCGTGGCTTTATATGCACACTACTAGAGTACTAACTTGTTGATGTAATTTAAGATTAATATATTATATGCGGTCAGCATACTATGCATGTGGTGGTTATGTAAATGGTTATGTAAATGATAGATGAACTATAATCGCATGGTTGGTGAACACCACTTAAAATGCTCTTAACATAGTAGGAATCACATTTTATATAACAAGGTTTCTATAACAGGGTTGTTAAACTTGTTATAAAAACTAAGGCGGTGACATTTTTGTAACTATCATGTTCTATCTATATCGAGTATCTAATGAATTAATTACATCCGGTATAAATATTTCAGATTCTCAATTATGTATAATGGGTATTTAAAAAGACGTTATACATTATTTAGATTATCAATTGTGTATAACGCATAGTTTTTAAACCTTGCCCGATAATCGACCCGGACAGGCCTCCGGGTTATCGGGTCACCGGTTCAACCGTCGGTCACCGGGTCAATTGCTGAACCGGATAGTTAATTTCAAAATTTTTAAAATTATATTTGGAATATTTTTGTCATATAAATATACTTAAAAGTAACAAAATTAAATGTTTTGTCTATAAAATTTATACATTAAAGTGTTAATAATATGTATCTCATGATAATATTACCATATAAACATATATACAATTTTATTTTGAAAAAAATAAAAATTAATAAAAATATATATAGGGTTGACTCGGCCGGTCAATGCACCGGGTGAAGGTCGGGTTGGTCGGGCTTTGACCGTGTTTGACCGAGTCCTTTGTTGCCCGATCCAAACAACCCACTCGGACCAGTTTCGACTTCGGGTCGACTGGGTCCCGGTTCGACCCGTTGGACCCGGGTCGAAAAACTATGGTATAACGGGTATTAAACAACCGTTACACAATTTTACACAATTTTTAAGGTTTATTTTGCAATCCCAAAATCATAGAATTAATCTCCTCGCACAAAATCACAAACAATCGTCCCAAGCCCTATTCGCAGGCCCCCGTCGCCGTTCATACCCGCCTCGTCGCCGTTCGTCCCAAGCCCTATTCGCACGCAACCTGTCCCCCGCAGCCCTTGCCGTCCGCTGCTCTGAGCCCTCGATGTCCGGTGCCCGCGTTCGGCCCTATTCGCAAGCCGCTCGTCCCCCGCAGTCCTCGTCGTCCGTTACTTTGAACCCTCGCCGTTCGGTTCTCCACTATCTGCGAGATTCTCACCCTCTTTTGGTAGTTCTTATAACGCAAGATTTTATTTTATATTTATTTAATTTAGTTGATATCTTTTTATAATATTTATTAATCTATGAATAACGTTAAAGTTTTTACTTTCTCAATATTTGTGATTAATGTTTCTTTAATTATGTAGAAATTCTCATCTTTTGGATAATGGGTATTAATTATGTATACTCCATTATTAGATTATGTTACCTTTGCCTTTTCACCATGCACTTTATGCTTGTGCTTGTGCTTACGCGTTTTGAGTTCAACCTTCTGATATTGGATATAAGCATTTCGCAATATCATTTGTTTAAATGCAACTATGTTTTGTGCAGAGTTCTTTATGTCTACAAATTCAAAGAATCCTACATCCTCAGTTGACAATAGAGTGGGTCCCGACTTTTTTGGGTTTTTTACTACCGAAGTTGTTGAACTATTGTCTAGAGATGAAGGTAAACATGAAGTTCCTTTGCCCTTGTCACATTCGATTTCACATTTAGCTAATGAAGTTCATGTAATGAGGTTCGTGAAGGAAAGAGGTCAATTAAGAATAGCGAATCCAAAGAGAACAATGGTGCCATCGGTTCAGAATCATTGTTCAATAATGGTGTAGGAGCTTTACTCTCAGATTCAAAACGAGAGAGTCTCAAATCTCTACTCAGACAAAGTGTTTTTACCCTTACTAAGGAGGTAGATGAGGTAATCATAAAACACGTGTTGGGTCTCCTAATTTTATGTCGTATGACTTGATATATTAATTTCATATTAGTTGATTCATATAATTTGAATCTTGGATCATTGTCTAGTTATTGATGTAATTATAGGAAGGAAATGACATTGTTTAAAGATTATAATTACCAAGTAAATTATATTAATTTTTAGGCTTTATTAAAGTATGAACATATTTTTAATGGTATTAGGTTCCCCCTTAGCTTTATACTTGAGCTCCGTGCTTGTTGTATTACCAATTAAATAGTTCCACAATGAAGTAGATTGTTTTATATTGTAGACTTTAGGAAGTTTCATGCTTCTTTTGTCTTCATTGCAAATCCTTAAATAGATTTATTGTATGAACATATTTTTAATGGTATTAGGTTCCCCCTTAGCTTTATACTTGAGCTCCGTGCTTGTTGTATTACCAATTAAATAGTTCCACAATGAAGTAGATTGTTGTATATTGTAGACTTTAGGAAGTTTCATGCTTCTTTTGTCTTCATTGCAAATCCTTAAATAGATTTATTGTTTTTCTTATAAATTTTATATAAAACACGACTATTTTTATTGAAAAAGTAAGAGGATGCTTGGATAAAAAGCATCTAAAAAAAATCCAAACATTTTTAATTCAACCATTTTTTTAACTCAACTTTAACCCAATCTTATCATCATCAATATTATCATTTTAATTAAACAATTTTAATCAATCATTCTTACACACCACATCAACTTTAATTCACTATTTATCTACTCATATAATATTAACTATCACTTCAAATCTTCTATCTCATATTTTTACATCAAATCAACTTTAATCATTTTATTTTAAATACGATATCCATTGACAACGAACCTTACCACATTTCTCGAAATTAACTAACCTAAACCAAAAAATCCAAAGAAAACCAAAATTTTTTATATTCAAGCATCTCCTAAAAGGTGTTATTTTCAAGTGTCTTTTTTAAGAAATACTCTTCTATGCTAGATAAAGTTACCAAGTGACTTAACGAAATATGTGCTAGTAGAATTTAAATTGTTAGTTTTTATTATATTATAATGAAGATTAATAGATGTTTGGCATTTATATTTTCAATAATCAAATTTGTTGGCAATCTAGATTGTAACGAGTTTCTTGTGGTTTATGCTCTATGGTTATAATAAAAATAAGTCATGTTGTGATAACCGTATATGATGATATTTTTAGTATCATACATCATTATCATTTACACATTTATATACATACAACGTTACTAGAAATGGTATCCAAAACTGTTAAAAAGTAACACTCGTGGTACTTGCACTAAGGGATGATTTTTATTTGAACGACATCATTTGGTTTTTTGTTGCATGAAGTTTGCCAAATAAAAGCAAAAACCCCATTTAAACCAACCCAACCTTATGTGGTGCCTTAGAGATGAGATGAGTGAGAGTAGGGGTCAAAGTTTGAGTGACTGATGGGCAGAGGCGGACGCAGACTTTAAGGACAACGGGGGCAGAAACTACGGTCAACGTCAGAAATCAACCTGTCAAATCAATATTTAACCAACTAAAAAAATAAAAAGATTAAATTTTGACCAGGCACCTTGTTTTTTTATTTAATAGTTAGGTTGAGTCTCACATTCTTATTTTAAAAATAGGGACACATTTGATCCAATCCCTATATACAGTATTGACATTTATGTATAATATTTATTTTTTATGTAATTTTTTAGGGAAAAGGAAATAAACAAGAAGTTGAGTATAGCATAAACATAAATTCCACAACTTAAAAAATAACATACTATTGAAGGGTATATAATTCTAAATATTTTCATTTTATTTTTTATATTAAAATAACTTTGCATAATAATTAATAACATGTATGTTTTTTATGTCGATATAATAATACATTTATACATATAACATATATATACTACGTTGCAAAAAATTCTACAGGACCGGTGCCCCTACGGGCCCTTATGTAGATCCGCCCATGCTCATGAGTTATAAATTATCTGATCTTTGACCACATAGTTTTTTGTATCTCGAAACCTAAAAAACTAGTTTTCTCAATATAATTAAATAATACTAATCAATCATTTTCACACGTTACATTAACTTTTAATTTATTATTTATCTAATCACATAATTTTAACAATCAATCACTTCCAATTACCTATCTCCTATCAAGTTTATTTTAATATAACTCAAAATTCCACTCAAACCCAACCCAATAAACCTATTCAAAATTTACTCGTTATCTAGCGAATCTAATCAATCTAAAATAACTTATCTATACCAGGGCCGTCTCCAGAAATTAAATTTGGAGGCCCAGGCAAATTTTACCGAATTTGAACTTGCGTGGTTGGGCTATTTGTAGATAGAATCATACATGAAAAAGATATAATTAAACAAGACTATTAAACAAATAAATAATTGAAAAAAAATGATTTTTTCTTGTTTTTCTAGACCTTGGAAAAACTACTTTTAATAAATTATAAATTGCATTCAAGCAGTCACGAATACAACAAGGAGGAGAAAATAAAAAACATATTACAACAAATATTTATTATCACACAACTTGTTCTAACAAAACATCTTAAGCAAACAAATGAAATATTAAGGGCCTCAAATTCCTACACAAAATACATATTTTGCTATTAGCCCCTGTGTAATGGATTAAGTTCATAATTTTTATTTGCCCATTTATTTGTGTAAATAAACAAAACCAAATACAAATACATAAAACATTTAAAAAAAAATCGAGGCCGTTAATAATTGGAAGCCCATGGCATAGGCCTGCAGTGCCTCCCCCTAGCGCCGGCCTTGATCTATATATATTTATATATATTTATATAATTGCTGACAAGTTTCAACAAATTTTATTCAACCAACAATTAATATTATAGTTCATTTAATAAAAGTAGGTGTTCATTTAATAAAAATATGAAAAATTATGTAACTTTCAGTTACACGATTTATTTTGATATGTCCCATATTGGACGATGCCCATTATTGTAATGCCTTTTTATGTCCTAAAATACATATTTTTTTATTTTTATTTTGATACTATATATATTGTGGTATTATATAAATACATCTTTCACAACTAATTAAGAATGATTACAAATATCTTTATTTTCTATTGCAGTCGTACATTAATAATTTTATTTTTTTCGAATATTACAAAGATACATCAAATATTTTGAAAAATCAAACCCCATGAAATAAAACCATTCATTACTCCTACGAAATGGTCCAGCAATATATTTACAAATTTTAATTTTAAATGCATAAATATAACTTGTAATACTCTATGTTTAATACCATTATCAACTTATAATTTTAATACCATATGTATATTTGTGCAAATGCACATGGTCGAATACCAGTATGCAATCACCGCAATCACCCCCTGAATGCTTCTATTCATTAAATTGGTATAAAAAAATATCATTCAAATTAATCCTAAATGTTGGAAGAGAGAGTCTTGATGTATAAAAATTTTCATTATGGATATTTTTGTTCATTATTTAGCACCAATGATCTTCACACTTTTTTCTCACTTTAATTTGTTAGCTTTGCACCTTTATCTTTATTTATTTATTTATTATTCAATACATTTATTATTGTAGATTTTTTGTTTGTCCCACATGGCCACATCGATAATTTATTGGGTTGAGCGTGTATAAGTATTGGTTGGGCACCCTATCCGTTTGAGCTAGCCTTTGTTAGAAGTTATGTTTAACTGTCATCGATTATTTATTGGGTGGTTATTGTGTATAAGTGTCGGTTGGGCACCTCTCCGTTTGAGCTAGTCTTTTTGGGATGCGTTCTATCTAAACCCATTTATCATGTATCAGAACATCCAAGTTTTATTTATTTCGAGGCGTGATGGGTTCTTCGCCCTGCTCGTTTGGTTTGGCACGTTGTGCATGAGGCAGGTGTTAGAAATAATGATTGACCCACGTCGATTAGTTGCTTCGACTGTTATTGTGTATAAGTGGGGGTTGAGCATCATCTCTCTTTGAGTTAGCTTTTGGGATGACTTCTACCTAGACCCATTTATTAACTTTCTTTTTCATTACTAAGTCGAGGTAGTTAACTATATTTTATTAGCATATTGATCTATTTTGTATGCTCTTATCTTCATGAAAAGTTTGCAAAGATTAAAATAAAGATCCGTGGCTTATCAATATCTTAGTTGACAGTAATTGCAATTATGTATTTACAGCATTATTTGGTTGGTGGTCATATAAATAATTGAAATAAAGGGCATTCAACATTATAAGTTGTATTAAAAAAATCATCAATTTAAAATGTCATGCCTAGCCTGTTTTTAGGGGACACTTGAAATGAAATAGAAATAGCAAGAATAAAAGTGTTGACAAGCTGAGACGTAAGATGGTACTTGAATTTCTTATAGAAGGGTAAGAATTATGTTATTGGAGTTAACAATCCATGTTCTGCTCGGGATAGTTTAATCAAGTAGGATTCATGCACTAGCAATGATTATGGCTTAAAGTTGGAGATATACTACTAGTTGTGACTTGCTGTAATCTATTTAATATTTTTTTTGTTTGTTCCTTTGGTTTTCATGTTGAAGATTGTCGATCCTATTCTCTCCATTTGCCGTATTCATTCGTGCTTGAAATGCAAGGAACAACTTTTATGCCTGGATGCCTCAGCGTGCAAAGTTGATACACAACAACCACACAAGAAGCTCAAACATGGATGTTCTGTAAGCATTTCCTTGTTAACAATTTATCTGGAATTATTCATAAAATAACATCATAACGACCAAGGTTTGTAGAACAAGGTGTACACGTGAAAAAGTGGTAGTTTATTAGACTTTTTTTGAGAATTTTGGCTCGTATATATATCTGTCGTTGTTACACCATGCTGATTTCATGTACAAATATGGCGAGAAAAATTTTTATACTGCGGATGTTCCATGATTCGTTGTGTAAATTAATGTGGAAGTTATACATGTGAAAGTTGTTTGCCAAACAAAGGTAAAATGAACATAGCTTTTGGAATTGTATAAAATTCGAAGAATACTATTCGCAGTAGTTCTGTGTTGTTAGTTAAGTTAAGAGGACATTGATTTTCAACAAATATGCCCACATAGGTAAAATGAACATGATTTGAATTTTGGAAATGTGTAAATTTGGAAGATTTAATTCCATTGTACAGCTATTTGTAATCTGACTATTAGCCGGATATATTTTTAACAAATTTACACTTCATTGAAAATACCATGCTTAAAAGAAATTCATAAATAGAAGTTTGTTTTTGATTATATGCATATGACTAATCTACTAGACTAATGGTTAGATCATTTTCCTTTGTGTACTATTTGATGTAACTGTAGGTCTTCTATTAGTCTGGTCAAATAGTTAGACAACTATATTTTTTTCAACAAATATAATTTTTTTACACAAATTTAAAATGCAATATAAACAAAAGTATGATATTTCATAATATAAATGTGTTTTTATGTAAAAAAAGTATTGCTAAACTAAACAACAATTTTTGTGTTTGATAAATGCAAATCTAGATTGTTATCGCGACATGTATACTTGACTTTTGAAAATTTCCATATTACAGGTAGCAAAATAGCTATTTTTGTATTGTAGAAGTTAAAACCATTTTTATTTACATTTTGCCGTGCGAATTAGTGATCAAATGGATTAGTGATGAAATGGATCTAGACACACATTGAAAGTTTGTGTTTTACAGAAAAGTAGAAATGGAAAGTGAAAAAATTGAGGAGAAGCGAGATGTTTTGAGATTGTGAATGAATATAGGATAAAAGTGTAATTGTTAAAGTTGAAAAAATGTAATGATTAGTGGGATTGTAGAGAAAAAAATTGGTTGAATGAACAGTATTTTATGAAAAAATTTAGTTTGCATTAATAATTTCAATGAGATGAATTATATCCAATTGTTTCACTGGGTATATTTTTTCTCTGTTAGTCTTTAGGAAATGGTGAAAATGCTTTGCAGGGATTACGTATGTAATTTGAAAGTACTGTTATTGTATATGCTATGGAAACGTGACAATCAAAATTGATTTGATATGAGAATAGTAATTATAATGACTGGGTTGAGAATGAAGTGTGAAAAGGTGAAAGTTGAAATTTGTGGGAAATTCTATATGTGATTTGTTTTCGCTGTTTGTAGATGTGAGAGATAATGTAATTGAGTTAAATTTCTAAAAGTTTTTTTGGACACTCACCGGTTTCAGGTTAAGAATTTTTCTTGTAGTGGGGCCAGTGAGTGAAAATCTTTTATATCCTAATACTGCCTTACTTTGTCTTTTTCAAACTACAGAGTGAAAGTACAATCATTATTAAACTCTCTTCTAACGTGCTTGTTTTTCTTGTCAATTTGCAAATGCTCGTGATTGCTGAAGAATGGGAACACTGATACTAAATATACCCAGGAATGTTCAGAGGTTAGTAGAACATAATTTCAATCTCTCTTTGTGGCGCCGTGGGAGGGAGTTTTTTTCTGGTTATTTTTTATGAAGTGAGCTGGAGGTTACATCTGCATAATTCTTTTCAGAAAACAAGTTTTATACTTCACAACTTAAAACTGTCCCTCTTAGCTTATGGGTGTGGCTGCCACTGATATCGTCTTTCACCCGTAACATATCAAATAGTAGTTTGATGCTATACCAGCTGTTTGAGTACCGGTTAAAGCGTTACCATGGGAAAATACTGGATTTAAACATGCAAAGTATAATGTCTAATGATCAAAATACTTAATCTCGAGAATGGACTTATTTTGAATGCATGCATGATTTACCGGCTCAGAGTCCGGGATACGGTTAGATGCATATATGCCTAATATCTTAAAAGAGACAAAGAGATAAAGCTAGTTAGTTTGGTAGTATCCCGCTGGATAAAGATAAAGTGTTTACGAAAATAAAGCTAGAGTTTTCGAAAATTAAATTAGTGTTTCAAATTATAAAGTGTGAAAAATTTACACTGGTTTTAGTAATCGTAGGCGGGTGTTACAGTTGGTAGATATCAAGTAGTAGTTTTGAGTACAGGTTAAGGCGTGTAATGGCAATGTCAGATAATTTAACATGTCCATATTTTTTTTTTTTAATAATAAAATGCAATTAGAGTGTTGTACTTGTTTTAGTATATGTAAATTTTTGATAAGTCAAAGCTAATAACTTACAACTCATGGAGTCGTCATACAGCTCATCTCGTCAAAATTTCTTGAAACCGTTCTTTATAAGTATTTTTCTAGAAGCATTTCTCTAGTTAAAGGGTATATTTGTTCTTGTGGATATAATTTACTGGTGACAATAAAGCCGTTTTATAAAGTAAAGACGTATTATTGATAGATTGCTCTGCTTGATCTGTTTTCTCAGATTGATGATGACATGCGGATTCTTTTAGAGAGTGATACAACTAAGGTTGAGGAACTTGTGAAGAAACAAACCAATGAATTTTCTACCACGGTAAAGGTTCCTAACTGCTGCTTTTCGTATTTGAAGTTCAAAGTGAATGGTGGTCATTAATAAAAATTATCACAACTGACCTCATTTTTTATTCCTTATACAATGTCATTAATGTTCTCGTCAGTTGTGTCACATGGAGAAGAAGCTTGAAGAACTACTGAACACTTTGATGACCAGTTGCAGGTACCTGTTTATTTGAAACTTGGGAAAACTATTGTGAACTTTATTTACTTTTGTCTGCTCGGGAGTGATTGACTGCAGATTAAAACCGGTTTTGACTGGATTATTTTTGTACATCTTTTAACTCAAAATTCAACTCAACTTTAATCCAACACAACTCTCCTCAATAGTATCA